GGGCAGTTTGTAAGAGTACTTCTAAACATATCACGATATCTCATGACAGAATATAACTGCCAATTTTTCGAATGAAAAAATCGCTGTTTTCAATTTACTTGAAAGTATTAGTCCAAATTCAGTTTGTCTTATTTAATTCAAGATAACTCTTGAAGAAACTACTCAGAAGTGTACTACAGACTATAATAAAAATATCATATATTCTTTTATCAGGTACATATAAAGATGGATGCGCACCGCTGAGCAGTCCCACAGTAGGATGAAATGACCGTCCAGTGCTTCCAGGTTTTTCATGGTTGTTGAACTTCAATTGACTCATGATCTCAACTATTGAAATTAATATAATATCCACAAAAAAACCCTTCTGATATTAATCAACATATGCTCACTAGCAACGGTCTCCAAGAGGTATTTCCTAGAGTTCTAGTGAGAAGAAGTGACCAGTGGATTTCAACCGGGTCTGTTGTGAGATAGTAACTCACTGATGATAATGGTGGATGTGTTGATCAATTTCATAGATTAGTTGAAGTTAGATATTAACGCCGTCGGATACCGGCCAGCTCAGTGATCTAGTGGTTCAACCGTTGCGCGCGAGACTGATAGGTCCTGGTTTCGAATCTTGCGAGGCAGGATCGTGGATGTGCACTGCTGAAAAGTCTCACAATTGAACAAAATGGCTGTCCAATGCTTCCAGGTTTTTCATGGTTGTTGAACTTCAATTGACTCATGATCTCAACTATTAAAATTACTATAGTATCCACAAAATTGTGAATAATCACTAGTTTTATTCATTTCGCTCAACTTTTTGTGAAGACCATTAATGGCGGAAAACTTTCTTCAATATCGATAAAACATAAGAGGATCAAGTGAGGTCGGAAGAAAAGTGCACACCAAGTTAAATGACCTTTCACACTGTTTTTATCATGGATCCTGTCAAGGTGTTTAAATACTATTCATGTCTCTACCTGAAGTTAACGGTTTGACATTGAGAAGGATTAAGTGTGGGACCACTAACAATAGACCATCGTTCAATAAAGGACAAAAACTCATTCATTTCAAGGGAATGTGAAGAGGTAGAGATCGGTATACATACTGTGAAATCATCAACATATTTGACAAGAGTGTTTTGTATGAAATTGGCAGATCATGCATAAAGAGAGAAAAGAAAAGATGAGAGAACAGCTCCTTGTGGAACACCTTTATGAGTTAGTAGAGACGGTGAACACTTTCATCCGAATACAGTTAACTGTTCTCTTCCAGAAAAGTAAGAAAACTGCTATTTGGTTATCCTGCTGTCAGTGTAGATGCTGATAAATTTGTTAAGTACTGGTTATGTTGTAACAGACTGAAAGGAACAATTATAATCTTGCACAGAACATTTTTCTTATCCTTTTCCAAGATGAACATTATATTTTGATGCGAAACAACAGCAGTATCTAAGGTGCTTCTTTTACATTTGTAAGCAATCTAATTTGGATCACTCTATATTTTTTGTGGGAAGTTGATGTAGAGATAGCAAGAATTTTTTCCATTGTTTTGAGAAAATGTGAAGTTATTCTTATGGGTCTAAATATAAATTCACCTAGTTATTGGCTCTAATGCGTCTCTCACCTGCAAACTCTTTAAATAGCTCCCACATAATTGAAGAGTTTCTATAACATAGGAGCCGCTGGGTAAACATCGAGTTCAGATATTAATCTCAAGTTTTATCAGACCATTTAGTTTGTAAACTTTGATGCGATTTTCCCGTTGTACATTCTTTGTTTTTTCGTCCGTAATCCTTTTACTTGTGAAGACGTAAGTCGATCAACACTTAGAAAAATGATTTTAGTAGGACAACAAATGCTGAAACAAAATTTAATATAATAGTGACAACATCAACGGTATTTTCTAATGACTTATCTGTGAATAATCTTCAGTATGTCGTGTAAAACATTTTTCAGATTTTGAATATATTTTCTTCTCAGTAATTCCTGCATTTGACCTTCTTTGTCTGATATAAGAATGACTGATAATAAAATGAGATATTAATCTCAATATATCGTTTGGTAACTTGGATTAAGTTTTAAGCCTTTGAATTTCTGAAGCTTGCAGTAAATTTTATAAGCGTTATAAATGAACAAATCATTAAAAATTAATAGTTGAGTCGATTAAACCTAGAACATCATGAAAAACCTGGAAGCATGGGTCAGCCATTTCGTTCTTGTGTGGGACTCGTTAGTAGTTCACATCTACGATGCATCTCGTGAGAATCAAACCCGAGACCTTCGATCTCGCATGCGAACGCTTAACCTCGTAATCACTAAGCCAGCCGGTGTCAGAATTTCGTTGATTGGTTGAAGTTAGACATTAACACACCGGCCGGCTCAATAGTCTAAAGATTAAGCGTTTACGCGCAAGACCGAAAATCCTACGTTCAAGTCTCACGTGATGGATCATTGATGCTCAATGCTTAGGGGTTCAATACTAGTACTAGACGGCCATTCACTGCTTCCAAGTTTTCCATGATGGTTTAGCTTCAATCGAATCATGAATTCGATTATTAAAACTGATACAGTCATCACAAAACCCACTTTCTGACATTAGAAATTAATTAATTATTCTTTAAAAATAATGGAAACATGGATTATTTTAATAAAAAAGTGGAACCAAAATTTAAAAAAAAGTGAAGAATAATAAAAGGTTATTTATTTTAGATAAATTTTGATTTTTTTTAAAATTTGATAAATCAATACTTTAAAATAGAAAAACACATAATTTGAAAAGTTATTATTTACATTTATCACTACTCCATAGAGATAGAGAGATAGAAGGAAAGAGAGAGAGAGAGAGTTTGTACCAGCATACATAGTTATCATATTGTTAATATTATTTTGATTTCAATCATAGTTGATAAGTATGAAGAAGTGATTATACAAGATTTAAATATGTGAATAATATACTCCATTTTTATCCTATTTTTTTCCCATAGGAACAACATAAACCTTATTATAAGTTAGATCATATGAATAAATTCTTATAAATGTATACAGTAATAAAATGTAAAGTAAAAAATAAACAAACAAACAAACAAATTTTGATAAACATATTCAGCTACTTTTTATAAAAGGAATATGTATGTATAAGACTAAGAGACAAATGATTATTTTATCTCTTTAATTTATAATTATAAATAATATGCATTAAATTGAGGAATAGAATTTTATTTGGGAGGGGAATGTTTAATTCATCATTTCAAATAATTCATAGTTGTTTTATGTTACTGTATAGTTTGAAATGATGAAATAAACAGCATAAAATATATCAATGACAAATCCTTATTTTCTTATCTAATTGTATAAATAACACTATATAATCTTTTATACTAGATTATCAAAGTTATTTACTGCATAATATTCTTTAAGGAATTAGACTACATAACATATTGGAATGTAAAGTATGATAAACAATTCATTTGTTTTTTTTATTGAGATCATGAACCGATTGATGTTAGACCACCAGTGAAAACCTGGAAGCACTGGACGGCCATTTCGTCCTATCGTGGGACTCCTCAACAGTGCGCATCCACGATCCCGCTCGCGGGATTCGAACCTAGGGTGTTCAGTATCGCGCGCGAACACTTAGCCTACTGATAATTATCAATGATACTAATTTGGAAAGATTAAATAAACAGAATACATCGCTTGATTCATTCTTGTTCGTTTATAACTTGTAATCAATACAGTACTCAACATAGTGGTTTAAGCTGATCTTGTAAAAGCGTAACAGTATTGTTATATCGTTTTTTAAAATAATTCGTTCAAATTAGGATTACATATTTTTCTCGCCAGATTTAAAACAATAATTTTTTCTAAAAGAAAAAGTAAAGAATTTATACTAATCATTGTGCTTGATAAAGCGTGATAAGTAGGAAACTAAATTGATTGAGGAACAAAAAATTCAATTGGTTTAAAACGCTTACTTAATTCAGATAAATTAGCTATGTAAACTTGAAAATAATGGATGAAATCAAACTTAATTTCTCTCTATAGTAGACAATAAATTTCAATCGACTAATGTATATCGCTATCATGACTGTTTTAATTAATAAAGTATTGGGTTTTATTTCTTTCTAACAGAACAACGAATAACATGATGATGATGATGATGATGATGATGATGATGATGATGATGATGATGATGATGATGATGTTGATTAAACTCATACACTTGTTTATTCATAATTGTCTTAATTCCTAACTACTAAACAACATTAAAATGTAGTGGTGTGGTAACTCGAACTGATGTACGTACGTACGAAGTTCTACGTTGTTACTGACTGACTGAGTTAGATAAAAGTGATTCAAAAGTGATTCAACTAAATGTTACAGAATGTTAAATTTCATTAAATCATTTTCGTTAAAGCTTTCTTGAATGTATGATACGAAGTTAAATTTTAAATATATACCATAAATATTCTTATTAATTTATTATCTTCCGTAATTTAGAAATTTAATTAGTTAAAATAAACGTTATACATATAAAATGAGTATTTTTAGTTATCAGGAGTTTTATGGAGATTTGAAAAATTTCAATAGTTGAAATCATGAGTCAATTAAAGCTAGACCACCATGCAAAACCCGGGAGCACTGGACAGCCGTTTCGTTCTATTGTGGGACTTCTCAGCAGTGCACATCCACGGTCCCGTCCCCCGCGAGATTCGAACCCAGCACCTATCAGTTTCACGCGCAAGCGCTTAACCATTAAACCGCTGAGTCGGCATCCAACGGTGTTAATTTCTAACTTCACTACTGAAGAGTCCCATACTAGGACCAAAACGGCCGTCCAGTGCTTCCAGGTTTTCCATGATAGTCTAGCTTCAATTGACTCATGATTTCAACTACTTTTAATTAATCTATGAAATAATTACAAATTTATTTTCACAAAACAGATTCCATATATATTTTTATTTTATTTCTATAGAAACATTCAACTGACCCAATGTAATAATAAGTACTTACGGATAATTATTGAAAATGATTTGGGAAAAAATCCACACAAAAAAATTTTTTTTCAAAAAATGTGTTAGAAACATTTAATCCATTTCATTGAATTTATTATAAGAAAATTTAGAAACTGTATGTTTCCACCGATTTTTATTCCAGAAATAAATAAATAAATAACTTATTAAATAAATTAATGATAGAGATAATTTGAAATTCTGAAGAGAAGTTGTTGATTGGTTAAAATATTTTCCGGTAATCTGATTGGTTAATATGAGTATGTACTAAAAAATTATTATTAGATTAATTCAATTTTGTTTTGTTTTAACATTTCGAAAGAAAACATTTATTTTCTATCTTATCCCTTATATTTAATCATTTGAGTGAAATGAATAACCATCTATTTATCATCTTCGTTACTCATATATATATATATATATATATATATATATATATATATATATATATATATATATATTAGTCAATCTGTGATATTGTTTAACCATATTCTCTAAGTACATCTTATAATATATAAGATTGGCTTTATGATAAACTAATGTCACTTAATTATATAATCAATATAGGTTATTAGCTTAATTAAAATTGTTTGTGTTTAGCATATCCGAGTTATAAAAGTTGTACGATTACAAAACATCAATGAAAGAAGTAAAGTCATTGCAAATAAAGATGATGATTGAATAGTTTCATGAAAAAACAGTTATCTCATTTCCTTCAAATATTTTGAAGTCAGTTCTGTTAACCCAACATCGAAAGATTTTATTTTCGAGTTTAAAGTGTTTGGTAGTTACTTCAATTACAACCAACGGTTGTTTTTTTTTAAGACAAAATATGAGGATTCATTACACTTTACACGTACCAGAAAAATCTCTTACACAGAAAAGTTTGTTAATGGTAAACATACGACATTCTTTATTTTCCAAATATGATGATGGCACTTTCAAAATTAGGCTTTCACAAAAATTCTGTTTCTTTGTCTAGCTGTATTTATAAACAATGAGTTACAAGGTTCTTTAAAATATATTCAGACGAAACTGTAAGAAATCTTATTTTGAATGACTTGAAAAGAATTGTATTTAAAACACGTTTCTCTAGCCTTGATCTATATTTCCACATTTTACTCATCACATCCTCGTTTAAAACATCAAACTTGTGGATATACTTGTTGAATTTTAAACTCAATTAGTTAGTTATATAATATACCCTTGTGGGCCAGGTAATTTTACATTGATTTTCAGGAGAACCAGACACCATCCGGACTTTCACGTGACAACCCAAACAGTACAGCTCAACCCCGTTTAGCAGGAGAACCAGACACTTATAGGCTTTAACGCTACAATCTGAATAGTACAGCTCAATCCTGTGGGGCAACCACACAGGTACCAGGCACCCTGGTGGACCAGAATTATGAACTACTGCCACAAATTTAAATAATTTGCCAGTCAAATAAAAAGGTATTCAAAATCATTTTCCTTAATAGCAATAAATTAATCCCTAACTATGAGACACGTTAGCTGGATTTACCTGCATGTCAGAGTGGATGTTCACTACGGAGATTCAACCCAACACCGTTTACTCCGAACGCCATCACGTTATCCATTTAGCTACTGAGTTCAGACACCCTCTGACTTGTGTAATGGTTGAGATGGCATGCAAACTGAAAGGTACTGTATTCGAGTCCTGGAGTGAACGTCAACACTATGATGCAGACACGTCCAGTTGATGAGTCCCAAATGTGGTGAAATGCACATCCTGGATCCCACTACTGCCGACTATCCATCTCTTCTTATAATATCTGTAACATAATGACAATATCGAAGCAATCTGAACACATGCCAAAAAGTGACTAATCAATTGCGATCCCATACATCAATGGAACGACTCAAACAACAAATACAGATGAATTAATCCCTAACGGTTCTGATCATTTTCCTCAAATGTTTTGAATTATTTTCAAGACAATCATTGAAACAGCTCATGTGATTACCTAAGGTCTTATTTTGTCAGTCTACTTGACTACTCACTATTCACTTGCTTCAGATAAACAATTTGTTATAAATATAATAAAGTAATAACATATTTTACATGTTCGTGAGAATCACGCAGCTTCAAAAGTGCCTTAATTCTTGAAGTTTTAATGGGAAGTGATTACGGTTGTAATTTGCACAACCCAAGAACCAGACATATATCAACGATGACAATTGGTAGTTGTCAAGCTTACTGATTTATTTGCAATGTAAAATATTTTGTGTTAACTCCATAGTTTAGCCATATCATGCTCGTCACAAAACCTCATAGTACTTGATTTGATTCTGAGGTTATGTGTACACAACAGTTATAAGTTCCGATATATTCCAAAACATTGCCATTTATTTCTAATGTTTTAATAACGAAAGTTCAACTATTAAAAAACCCTAAAAACTCATGGTACATTACAATAAGTAATTTACACTACAAGTTAATATGCTTATTTCAAGCAGAACAAAAGTATAAGTGATCTGTTGACAATGATAAATGTTCCCCGACATTCTGATTCATTCTATCAAACATCAAAAACGTATGTTTTTGTATAAATTATAAAGCTTATCACACAGCAAAAAGCTTGTACAGATATTTTTTAAATGCCGATATTCTAGACAGTTTTCTGATACGATATTCTCATCACATGCTCTCAGTTAATCAATCATGTTAGTAAATATGACTTTGAAGCTAAATAATTCTATTCAGTACATATGATTCAATGAAAAGGAAATGCTAAAAACAACAACAATAACTATATCCATCAATTGTTCGTCTAACGGAAATGCCGATGAAAATATTTACAACACTTGATCTCAGGAAATACAAGCTCATTGCAATCATGTTCATAACTATTGAGATACATTATATTCTTAATCGGATGTTCTATATATGCATAAATTGATGTTGTTTAACCAAAGATTATTAATCTTATAGAAAGTAATGACAAACTAAATTCACTAATTATTTTATACTTTTTGTAACCAGGGCGAATGGTTTTATAGTTTTTGATCTTGGATGATTATTTCTATTAAAAGTAGTTTTACACATTTCAGAAGATATATGGAACTGTAAACTTCAAAATAGTTACTGTATACGCTATGTCTGAATGATACACCCATGTCTTTTAATGACCAAGGTCAGCCTACTATTGCATGAAGTGTGATGTAAATCTAGATATCCAAAAAGAGAGTGCGCAAATTACCAACTCTTCTCTCTCTCTCTCTCTCTGAGCTAATCACAAAGAAGCTTACACAAATCAATTAATGTCATATATCAATAGAGGGTCAAAATCCGTTATTTTTGATCACTTTATTTATACATTGAATCATTTTCAACAACTTAACACCCAAAGTTGCCGAACAACAATCAGAATGTAAATGTAATAAATATTTGTAAATGACTGAAAGCAATATTTGACTTAGCTTGAAAAACAAACATTTATCAGTTATAAAAGGAACACTTTTCAAGTGAAAATGGTCTGTATAATATAACAGAATGTGATAACAGGTATGTTAGTAATGGGGGACACTTATATCGTAAATAAATCATTCAGTCTTTCTAAAGTTAATAAACAAAACTGCTCAAGATAAATAGTTTCCTTACGAAGTTGCCACAACAGAAATTTGATCTTGTTTAAAAATATCTCTTTCAAATACGAAATTTCGAAGTATTCTATTTAAAATTTCTGCCGTTCGGATACACCCAGAGGTTGCTGTATGTTTAGGAAAAGAATGGCAGTATTTCATTGTGAGCGATGAATATATTTCAGGTAAGCAAACCAATTTAGTTATGTTGAAGTTTCACAATAACTTAAACTGACCAATCTTAAACAATACTCCACCTATTGTTCCTAGTGAAGGAAGCATAGACAAATGTTCAAACCAGAATAATTGATAAGATCATCACACTGATATAATTTTTCACAGGAAAGATCAATGAATTTAGAGCATTTTTGTAAAACCTACTGTAATAATGGATTAATCATTCGAAAGCAAATTAATTGAATATTACTATAGAACTCTAAACAATCTTATAAGAATGTGTGTAAATGGTTAGTCTAACTAAAACTCAATTAATGAGTAGTTGAACCCCTATAGTTTGCCCACTTGCCTTTGTTTTTAATATCATCAATAATCTCCAGGGTATAATGTTTATAAAAATTTAGTGTGAAACTAACGCACATTACTTTGACAAAATAAGCTAATGAAATAACATATAGTCAAATTTGAAGAATAGATTAATGTAGATTCTATGAAATGACTTTTTAAATTGACAATCGGAAGTATATTACTGAATATGGATATGTTCACAAATCTTTATGTCAATATTACTTCCTTTTGTAAGTAAGATTATTATGATAAAATAATAAAATGTTTGGACTAAGTTTAACCTAGCCAATTAGGTTAGTGAATACAAACAAAACTTTACAACTCCGAAGAATTGAATTTCACGCCTTTTGAAAAACAAATTTGTTTCTTAAAAAATAGGATCTCCGAGATTCTGGCTGCAATATTTTTTCATCTAAATGCTAAAGGACAATTGGCCGTTTCGTTGTATTGTGGGACTCCTCATTAAGAATTGAATAACTCACATTGAAAACTTTCTAGATTTTAGAATCTAATTTATTCCATTCAAAACATTGAACAATTTTGATCATTTCAATAAGATCAAATAATATAACTTTCAACATAATATACAAATCATTCATGATTTCAATATAATAAAATTCAATAATCTTCATTAACTTATTATTATTCTAGTGAGAAACCGCGATCAGAGGAGTTAATCCATGTCGGTTAGAGACGGGTATCTACCTCAATACAATGGAAGATGGTCGCGCAATTTCGTGGATTGATTGATGTTAGACACTAACACCATTAAATCCCGTCTCAATTGTTCAGTAGATTAAGCATTCGCGCGCAAGATCGAAGGCCCTGGGTTTGAATCCCGCGGGCGCGACCATGGATGCACACTGTTGAGGAGTCCCACAATAGAACGAAATGGCTGTCCAGTGCTTCCAGGTTTCCAACGGTGATCTAACATCAATCGGTTCATGATCTCAATGTAATAAAAAAAACTTAATAATCTCCACAACCCCTATACTGTTA